GTCAACGCCTAACACGCGTTGCCGGTTTAGTCTTTCACCGATTGAAGAAGATACCAGAATTCCAGTCTGAGGAATTTTATCCTGAAGCCTAAGAAGGGATAAGTCAGCGCCTAGCACGCATTGCCGGTTAGTCCTTAACCGTAAAAAGGATAAAAGTCCACATATTCAATATTATGGCAGGTTGTTATTCATAACGCCAAAATCCGCGCCTTACACGCTCGGGGGATTTTATCCCGAATCCTAAGAAGGGATAAGTCAGCGCCTAGCACGCGTTGCCGGTTAGTCCTTAACCATAAAAAAGATAAAAGCCCACATATTCAATATTGTGGCAGGTTGTTATTAACGTCAAAATCCGCGCCTCACACGCGCGGGGGATTTTATCCCGAATTCTAAGAAGGGATAAGTCAACGCCTAATACGCGTTGCCGGTTAGTCCTTAACCGTAAAAAAGGACAAAAGCCCACATATTCAACATTGTGGCAGATTGTTATTAATAACACCATGATCCGTGCCTCACACGCACGGGGAATTTTATCCCAAATCCTAAGCAGGGATAAGCCAACACCTAATACGCGTTGCCGGTTTAGTCTTTTACCGATTGAAGAAGACACCAGAATCCGAGTCTGGGGACTTTTATCCTGAATCCTAAGTAAGGATAAGTCAACGCCTAACACGCGTTGCCGGGTAGCCTATTCCCGTAACAATGACGAAGTCTATGTATTCGAAGTCATAGCATCAAGTCTAAGGGAGTTCATTCCTTTAGCACAACGTCACATTCGGAACGGAAGTAAACAATCCGCTTGCTAGCCCGACTCAAACGGTAGTCGGTAAAGGCATATCAAATCCGTTGATGGCTGAGGATTTGCCAAAAATCCTAAGTCTACGTCTAACACACGTTGCCGGGTAGTCTATTCCCGTGAGAAAGACAGTAAACAATCCGCTTACTAGCCCGACTCAAACGGTAGTCGGTAAAGGCACATCAAATCCGTTGATGGCTGATGATTTGTCAAAAATCCTAAGTCTACGTCTAACACACGTTGCCGGGTAGTCTATTCCTGTGAGAAAGACGAAGTCTACGTATTCGATGTCGTAGCACTAAAAGAGTTAACTCTTTTAGCACAACGATATGTGCAGAACGGATCTAAACAATCTGCATGCTAGCCCGACTCAAACGGTGGTCGGTAAAGGCTCATCAAACCCGTTGAGGGCTGAGAATTTGTCAAAAATTCTATAAATGCGAGTCATTGACGCACCATCTCCATTAGTTGGTCTCGTGACTTAAGCATCCAACAACTTCAGGATAAGATCTATACATGCAGATGAATCAGCTTTAATAGTTGGTCCTGCAGCTCCGACATTTGGGATCACCGTGCTCCAATACCTTAAGAACTTAAACTGTGTATGCTCCAGCAAACGTACGAGTATAAACTGTGTCAACGTCAAGCGATCCGAAACCCGAGGTCAACGCCGGTCAACGCGTAACCCTAGGTCAACGCCAGTCAACGCGTTGCGATCAAAAAGTCAACGTTCGACGTTCAAAACCCTAGGACAACACCGGTCAACGCGTAACCCTAGGTCAACGGCAGTCAACGCGTTGCGATCAAAAAGTCAATGTTCGACGTTCAAAACCCTAGGGTCAACGCCGGTCAACGCCAGTCAACGCGTTGCGATAAAGAAGTCAACACGAGTCGATATATCACGACGGAGATAGTCAGTTCAAAGTCAACTCAATGACACGAGCCAAACTCAACTCATTAGTTTTAGATTTGAGATTTCGACGACGGCTTGAGATTTTGACGACGGCCAGACGATAAACGCAGCGCCGGAGGGACTTCAATTATTCATCAAAGCATCGAATAGACTGAAAATCGAAGGAGTCAAGAATCGAAGCTAATTACAGGTCCTTTACGCCGATTGAAGGTTGGACCAATCACATCCAAAGTATTCCAGTCTCTTTTATAAAAGAAACGAGTCTAGAACGCTTTGGAGGGGGTATCTGTAGGCATCAAAAATTGCCTATAGATCTCCACGAACAGCTCAGTGTTAAGAAATGACGATGAACGTCACTATCTGAGTCACAGAAGTTTGATTGGTATCAGTAAACGTTTGAAGTGAATCGACGAACTACGTGAACTAACAGAATTTCGGAATAACAAGGGAACGAACTGATCGAGCACCTCGTGTCGTTCACAAACGGTGACATACCCGTCGTGTCTCATTTATTCCACAGATGATCTAATCATTGGAGCTTATAGAACTCCTCGTCGGCTGTCGTGTCTCATTTATTCCACAGATGATCTAATCATTGGAGCTTATAGAACTCCTCGTCGGCTTTCCAATGCACTTCGAATCACTCAAAACTGAGTTCGGACGAAGAAGTTACGGCGGAAACGAACAAGTGTACATAACACGGCGTCTCAGCCTGAATGAGACACCCTAAGGTGTCTCGGCCAAGGCCGAGACACCCTAGGGTGTCTTGGCCCAGTTTGAGACACCCTGAGGTGTCTCCAACGCAAAAATGGCCTTTTAGGTGGTTTTAACCGCCCGGACGTCCGTAAAGCCTATAAATAGAGCCCCCGGGACCTTATTTTTTGGGATCTGAAATTTTGGAGATTAGGCGAAGCCCTTCCGGATTGAAGACTGAAGGTATACGAATTTCAGAGAGGAGGAGGAGAGATCGGATCGAGTTCTTCAACGTAAGAGAGAGATTCGTCAGATCTACAGTTTCCCGGATCCGTTCCTTAAGATTATCCCGTTGCGATAATCTTAAGAAGAGTGATTATCTCGCTTCGCCTGAGATAAGCGCTACGGTTTCTTGATTCCTTCGGGAATCAATGAAGCTCTGCCCGATTTTTCAGTAATCAAATCTGATCGACGGTGGTCCACGGATAAACCCCGGCACAGGCAAAGAGTCTGTTCTATGATGCTCTCCCCAACTCAGCTGGTTTATCTCGTAGGGGGATCTCTGTGCCCCCTAGTTGCCGCCTTTTCTTTGCTACCTTTGAGACCGTCCTTCATATCTTCACTGTCTACTCCTTTGCTCGTTTAGTGTGGGAGTCCTTAGATCTTTGGGAAGTGATTAATGGTTTTCGAGGCACGTCTTGTGGTGATTTGCTTTTCCATCTCACCTCTGTTTGCCATGGGGACTCTCTGGCTTTGGCTTTCACAACCATGTGGTTTATATGAGGGGAAAGGAATATACGCTCTCATGGTGGTGGTGTTAGAGATGCCTCGGCCTTGGTGACTCGGATTTTTTGTTTTGTGGAGGAAGGGGATAGAGTTAGAGGTCTCTCCCGTGAGATTGTCACCCCTTCCAAATGGCCTTCTGCTTGGTATCCCCCTGCTCTTGGTTTGTTAAAACTCAACACAGATGTTGTTGTTCCTCTAGAAGAAGGTATTATTGGGTTGGGAGGTGTTATTCAGGATCACCATAGATTTGTGATTGGTTACTACTCTATGGGGATTAGGGGTCCTATGTTTATGGATCATGTGGAGCTGTTAGCTGTCCTGGAAGGCATTCACTTTGTTCGGCGTATGAACTGGAGGATTTCAGTGGTGAAAATTGACTCTCTAAAGGTTGTCTCCTTGGTGGACTCTCATTTTCCTTTTACTTCCTTGGCTCCTATCGCAAATAAAGTTTGCGCTGATCTGACTATTACTAACTGCTCTAAAGTTTCTTATGTAAGGCGCACTGGTAATGATGTTGCTCATTCCCTAGCTAAGTCGGTTGACTGTTTGTCCTCTTGTTTTTGGTCTGTTTCTGTCCTTTTGTTTTTGAGACAGAGTGCTGTTGAGAACTTGGCTGGCTAGATTACCTTACATGCCTTTCAAAAAAAAAAAAAAAAACTAAGCCCCAGTAAGAAATAAATAAAGTAAATATATCAAAATACATATACATTTATGATCAGTTATTGGGCAGTTATTCTGCCACTCCCAATTTCTAGGATCCACTCCCATCAATTTTACAGGATTCTCTGTTTCTCACCTGTGGACATAACTAACTAACTATGCTGGTCATGATAAATTGACTGAAGCAAAAATAAATAAATAAATAAATAAATAAAAGTCCTGAACTTTTGGTGGTTTCCCAGTAAACTATCGCTAAGTTGAAAATTAGAGAGAACATTCTTGAACTTATCTCATGAACCCACCGATTAGTACTGTTAACTCTAAGGAATCGTGTGTGCGTTGTGGGGTCCAAAATGGACAAAAATTATCCAATTTAAGCCGCTTTTCCATACTTCTACTATTTGTGGGGTTGTTTCTCAAAATGGCAATTTAGTCTTTTATCTTGACCCATCTAACTCGATTTGCGGGAAAAATGAAAGTTTAGGTGATTTTTTTACCCGCAATGGTCGACACTCAATTGTTTTTGACAACGTAAAATTATAAAATTTTGCACTCTAATACATTTTGCTATGCAAACATGTAAACTTTATTTCGAAAAATCTAATGTAACATTCATGTGCCAATTTTAGAATTTTGCAGTATTTTTTTATTAAATTTATTAATAAGCATCTTCTGATTCTATTCTAAGAATAGAATTTATATATGTTTAACAATAATATATTTAACAAAATAAAAGGTTTAAAATTTCTAAAATTAACATGTGAGTACCACGTGAAAATTTTTAGGAGAAATTTCTCGCATTTATGTCACAGAGGGTATTAAAGTATAAATTTAGAAATTTTAGAATATATAAATGCTTAAAGACAAGTTAGGATATATATAAGTGCAATGCAGGGAGAATAATAACGTATTTAACTGCTAATTAATTTTTTGGAACATCCACAGAACTTATGGGGGCCTTATTTTCAAAATTTGGTGGTGTTTTCATGCAAAACCCGGATAGTTTGAGATTTTGTGAAATTTACCCCAACGAAAATAACGGTCCGCATCTTGTCCAAATTGCTAATTTCATGTTAAGTAAACTCTCACCGCAGGTCCAACGTACCCCTCAGCGAGACAGACATCGACCAACTCAGCACCGTCGTTCTCATTTGTCGTTCCCACTCTTTCTTCTCTCATTCCTATTTTTATTCTAATTTTCTATTATTTTCTCGATTCGAAACTTGCTCGTATTAAATTCCCCCAAATTCTCGTTTCCTTTTATGGGAGTTTTTATCTCCGCGTCTTCAAGAGGCGGGCTAAGGCTCCTACATTCGTCTTCTCTCTCGTTGACGAAGGCGTCAAAGCTTTGACAAGATCCATTCTTTTCCCCATATTTTTTATATAAAGATTTGATCTTGGGAGAAGATCGGAGCTAGGGTTTGAAGATGGAGACGGAGAAGAAGCCGGCGGTGTCCAATATGGGAGCTTGGGCGATGAATGTCGTGAGCTCGGTGGGGATCATCATGGTCAACAAGCAGCTCATGTCTCCAGCTGGCTACGCTTTTGTCTTTGGTATATATTAATCTCCCCCCTGATTTGATTTAGATTTCGTCTTCTTTTTTTTTTGTTGAATTTGATTGATCTTGTTTAGATCTGTGGAGAGATATACGGGTTTTTTTAACGTTAATTTTGTTATGATGCTTAGATCTGGATCCTAATTTGGTTGTTGATTTTGGATCTGCTATAATTTTGCAAATTGTAATACAGATTAATTTGTTGATGTTTAAAATGATGCAGCGATGTTTATATGCTTAAAAAAAGTGTAAATCTATAAGATATCGGTTTGTTATGAAAAAGTTTATCTTGTTTGTAAATATTAGTTAGGATTAAAGAATGATATCCAAATGTTTGTAAGTAGGTATCAAAGATTTGATTTTGTGGACTTAAGAAGGTCAATTTTTTCCCTTTTGTGATGGAGCCAAGAAATGGCTCTTTTACCTAATGTCATTTTTAGTTTGTTGTTGTGTCCAAATAAAGAACTTGATCGTGTTTCTCTTTGTTTATTTATTTTTTAAGAAGTAAGTTAACCAACCGAACATCATTTATAATTTCATAGATAAGTGAAATAGTACATATGCTTACCTCAGAAAAGTGGGGTAAGGCGAAAGAGACGACAACGATATGCTTGCTTGGTGATTTGGGTTATCCTGCACAGGTGATCATGTTTAGTTCTGTAAACAACTACTTACGACTTCTGGATTATAAACTATGACACTGAGGTTACAAAAGAAAAAGAAAAAGAAAAATACTTAACTGGTGGCCCTAAAACTTTCAAGTATATAATATCTTAACCAGGTCATGAGTGTGCAAATTAATGTGGAAATTTTGCAATTACAAGTTAATTGGTAGGGGTAAAACTTTCAGATGTATAGAATTCTGTCTTCGTTATCATTTTGTAAGACAATTTGGTCTAGAGTTTAGTCTTAGTAATAAAAATTATTTTCATTGTGCAAAGAAATTAGCTGAATTTTTTTTATTTAATATATTTTTGATCTCCGCAGCAACTACATTGACGGGATTTCACTTCTCAGTCACCGCTCTTGTTGGGTGGGTTTCAAATGCAACAGGGATCTCCACATCAAAGCCAGTACCTCTATGGGAACTTCTATGGTTTTCAATTGTTGCTAATTTGTCAATTACTTCAATGAACTTAAGCCTCATGCTTAACTCAGTGGGATTTTATCAGGTTTGTATGCTTGGGTTAGTCAAGCCTGGGGGTAACATCTGCGACAATACTGACTTGTTTCTGTTGTGAATTTTCAGATATCTAAATTAAGCATTATACCAGTGGTTTGCATGTTGGAGTGGATTCTTAACAACAAGCATTACAGTACTAGAGTGATAGTGTCTGTAGTTGTTGTGGCCTTTGGTGTCGGGGTCTGCACTGTGACTGATTTGGAAATTAATGTGAAGGGATTTCTCTGTGCGTGTGTGGCTGTCTTCTGCACATCTTTACAACAGATTGTGAGCTACCTAATTTTTCCTCTCTATCTAAGCATAGCATACTTGACCTTAACTTTTCAATGCTTGTTATTCTGTACTTTATTCTTTGTTTTGCTTAATTAGTAGTTCTTGAAAGAGAAGCTGTTGCAAATTTGATTCAACTAACTAATCACTCTTCCTCTTATTCTGAGTTGCTTATTGCGATAAATTTTTTTCCACGATTACAATGGCTGATGCTATGCCCTTGTATTGCCAATTATTTCTTTAGTAAACAGGTTAATATCAGTTATTTGATCCTTCTTTATTGTTAGGGGGATTTTTTTTCCTACCTGTCAGTGTGTCTACCTGCCTCTCTAGTCTTTACCTGCTAGCCTATGCTCCTACTCCGCATCACCTCCCTTCTTCAATCCTTGTGGATATCTTCACCCAGTTCATTCGTGCCAACTGATAGTAGGGACTAGGGAGTCTAGGGACTCATGTACCTCCAGTTGTGTAGTTATCCAAACTTAACTATTTCCTTGATCTTTGTAGGACTTTAATTACCTTTAGGGAATGGCTGCTTGGAATGGGAGCTATTGATTACAGGAGTAAAATCAATTGAATGAATTTAGTTTTTCAGCAACTGGCTGCAACGACTAGAAAGAGGAAATTGGTGGGGGTGAGTAGTGGGTGGGAGTGGGGTTGAAGTTACAGTAATATTTCTTGTGTTTGCAAGTAGATTCCAAAGAGGAAGTTGAGTTTTGTGGTCACTGATTCCAGGATTATGGTTTAATGGCTTGATAGCATCACATCCACTACTCTACATTTGCTATCCTTGATCATCAATGGGTCAGGAACCTTATTAGCAAAATATCCATCCATAATCCTGGAGCACTCAGGATTGTTGATGCAGCTGCCCAGTTAGTTGCGCAAACTTCATTTCATCACTCTATGTATGTGTGTCCAGAGCTCACCAATATACCTTCATTTAAGCTAGTTGTACTAACTTCAGCTAGTTGCACTAACTTCAGCTAGTTGCACATTATTTACTCATATCTGCTTCAGGCAATGCACGCTGTGGAATTTCTTATAAAAATAACAGAATAAATGAGTTTAGGAGGGCAAAAGTTAAAACCATATATTGATGTTTCTCACCTTTGAACTGAATGTTTTTAATTATCTATTTCATTCTAAATAAAAAATACGAGGCTCCTGATACAGCAAAGACAACTCTTGTAATCCTCAGGTGAATATGGTAGAAACATGATTAGCCTACAGAGCCATTAACTCATAGGCAGATAATTCAGATTAGGAAGACGTGAAAATGAATAAAAGTACATCGGGAAGAACAGAAAACTTTGAGTATATGGTATATTATATAACTTAGGAAATAAGCAAAACTGAGCGAGTTTGATTAAAAATAATTTCATTACCTTCCTAGCTATTACATATAGGTTCTTTTTCTGTAGTTTGTGGTCTTGTTAGAAAGTCTCTGATATCTATTAATGATTCTTCCATTAATAATCGATATACACTTCTCCTTTTTTGTTGTCTTATGTGCTTTGTTATCTCATTGATTTAGGCATAAACTTGGGGATTTGGACCTGTTAAGCTTCCGCATTTTTTGTGTTATAAATTATGGTATCCTTGCATGTTCATGACTAATCTGATTTTGAAATATTATATAAATCTTTGAACCTCAAACAACTTCTTTTTATCAATCTAAGCTTTGAAAGCTTGGTCCTATAAAAATTTGGTCAGTTACCTTTGCATGATATGAAACTACTTATATCGGTTCTCTGTTGACATTGCTTGAAGATAGGTCTATTTCTGTTGTGGTTATCCAGATCACTTTTCTTTATATGACAAAGGCTAAAGATAGAGTTCAAAATAGAAGAGTGGTCTGTTTATACGATAAGCGCTAAAGATTAAACTCTGAAATATAGGTTAATATTGATCAAAATTTTAACATCACATTGTTGAAATATGATTGCAGAAGTATACAGAAGATTTACTTGCTTGGAGAATCCTTCCTTTAGTTTCCCTTATATCTCTGATGCATTTGTAAATTGTAATCACACATATATGTCAATTACTCAGCAAAATGTCAATCTTGCTGATGTATCAATTTATTAAATTTTGACACGTATTTTTTTAAAAAGTCTGTTGCTTCCTTTCTGATGCTCTTTACGGAAGCAACATATGTGTCTGACATACAAACATCATGTTTTTGTTCTCCAGGGAGTTTGTACTAGTTTTAGCTGGTTCTTTTTTCCTTCTCCATTTTCCACTAATCGGATAGTACCTTTTTATTTTATTTTCCAGACAATTGGTTCTTTCCAAAAGAAATACAGCATCGGTTCTTTTGAGCTCCTGAGCAAAACAGCACCCATACAGGCAGTATCTCTTCTTCTGTTCGGCCCTATCATTGACTACTATCTCAATGGACGTTCCCTCTTGAAGTACAACTTTGCTTCTGGAGCAATTGTGAGTTCTCAATCTACCATAATGATGTCTTCACTACAACTATCTTGCACATTTGAACATTACACATTAATGCTCTAACACATACATGCACATTATTTCCTAACATAATAAAGGCATGAAAATTGCTGGTCCTCATGAACAGAAGAACTAAAATTTAGAAGTGTTAATTGCAGATAGACCCTGTACTACACTGTGATGGTGTGGTCACTTATACCATATAAACTATCTTATTTTGCAGTTTAGCAATTACAACCCCTAAACCTTAAACATCATGCTTTTTTGGCCTCAATTTGGAGTGCAATTTAGTCTTTTTCGAGTTGATGTGAGGGTAAAAGGTAATTTATTTTCACGTGATTTCCTGTGACATCTCAACCAAACAGTAGAATTAATGTTGTCTGGTGTCCATAGAGTATATGTGCTAATAGAATATTTTAGGGAGCACAAGCGAACTGTGTGCCCTCATGGTATATGCAACTAGCCCAAGTTAGAAATTTATCATGGTTATCATGAATTTGAAGTTTTTTTTTTGGGCATTATAAGAATCCCTAAAATAAGATAATTGGATTCATTAACAGATGTTCATCCTACTATCATGTTCCCTTGCCGTCTTCTGCAACATGAGCCAGTATCTCTGCATTGGTCGATTCTCAGCCACAACCTTCCAAGTTTTGGGTCATATGAAGACTGTTTGTGTACTAATTTTGGGTTGGGTACTCTTCGACTCCGCTCTCACATTCAAGAACATCCTAGGCATGTTACTTGCAGTGGTCGGAATGATAATATACAGTTGGGCTGTGGAATCTGACAAGCAGGCCAACATCAAAATCGAAAACAAAGTAGGCTCAGAGGAGGATGTGAAGCTTCTCAAATCAAATGCTAGTGCTCAGAGTGACCTTGAGCTTGGACAGACAAAGAGTTGATTCTATTTTGTTGGATTCACCTTTTCAATTTTAATTGTTTAATTTTTTGGGGTCGAGTTATTTATTGTTGATTATTTGATTCAGTTCTATTTTGATTTCATAGTTAATGTTGTGTTATTAAGGCCCTTATGTAAGGTGTTGGGTAGCTGGGGAGCTTTACTTTTTTTTTTTTAACTTCTTTTCCCCACGAAATTTTCTTGTATGACTACTGTTAATTATATATAAATTGTTCATGTAAGAATTTCGCCTAGCGAATATATAAATTGTTCATGTAAGAATTTCTTGTATTGGTATTATTATTCATTTTACTGTTTAGATGAAATGCAGTTATAAGGTTGTGAGAATTAGAGAACCCAGAGAGGATATTTATTTTATCTGATGCAAGAAGCAGATCTCACCTGTTTACAAATTTGTGCATGATATTAGTTAGGTTTAAGATTGAAATCAGATCTCACCTGTTTACAAATTTGTGCATGATATTAGTTAGGTTTAAGATTGAAATCTGATCAAATCCGGGAAATAATGTCGAAGTTTCTTACTCCTAAATTTTGTGGGGAGAGCCAGTTATCATCATAATACTTCGGTTGAACATATAGTGTTTTATTAAATTTTTTTCAGTTTTCTTTAGATAATTTAGATATACCTCACGAATTGTTCTATATTTATATTTTTTGAGAGGAGAGTGAGTTTGGGAAAAAAAATTCTAGCAATAAAGGACCTTACTGTCCAAAGTCTTGTATACTATCATCAGTGATTCACTTTTCATTAGGTTTTCTACATTTTTTAGTACAGTTTTCTCTCAGGTAATATCGATCGTTCAATAACAACTGAGCAAAAGTCATCCAAGTAAAACAAATACATAGCTTTGCATAGTTTTGCATTTCACTTTTCATAAAACAAATACGTACCTAAAAATGCTAAAATGAATCACTTTGGTACTTTCATTTTTCACTTTCAGTTTAGGGGCTGTTTGGTTATTTCCTAAAAAACTAAAAAATAGAAATGCAAACCAAGAAAACTTAAAAAATACAATTTCACACATTTCCATCCCTAAAACTCACCCACAACATCTAATAAAATATTATTTTTATCCAACAACTCATTCATCACATCTAATAAAATATTTTTTTTATTTAACAACTCATCCATCACATCCACCACATCTAATAAAATATTATTTTCATCCACAACATCACTCAACTAACTCATCCATCACATCCACCACATCTAATAAAATATTATTTTCATCCACAACATCACTCAACTCATCTTATCTCATATTTAAAAATTACTCACATCATCCAATAAGATTGTGACAACTCATCTCATCTCATTAACATTTCATTTCTTTGTTTTTTTCCCAAAAAGCTAGGAAAACAATTTCCTTAAGTATGGGTCACATCATCCAATTATATAATGACAACTCATCTCATCTCATATATTTTCTTATTTTTAAGAAATAACCAAGCAAAAGAAAACAACCTATTACAAGAAATATGTTTCTTATAATTTATTTCATTATTTTTTTCGCCAACCAAACAACATCAAAACAAGTTTTCTTAAAAAATCACTCACATCATCCTATAATAAGGTGACAACTCATCTTCATTTCTTTGATTTCCTTTTTTTAGCAAACCAAACACTCCCAAAACAATTTTTTGATTTAATAGTTTTCCATTTCTTTGATTTTTTATTTTTTTTAGGCAAACAAACAGGCCCTTAACAAACACCTCTAGAAATAGTACACAAGTCATGGCATTAGGTTATTACTACAGTACAAAATTTCTTAACCATGGAAGATTGGGGGATAAGTAAGTAAAAAGAAGAAGAAGTGCTTTTCTGCATTTTGTAATTTTGAGGGGGTAATATGCAAAAACTTACCCTAGCCTTTATATATAGAGAGGCATTTGGGACGATGGGTCTCAATAGAAGCTTAGCGGCGGCGCTAGGGTTTTTGTTCATTTTCCCTCTTCTTCGTCAACAAAAAAAAAAAAATCTTTCTTTTCCTATTTATTTCTCGATCAAATCTCGAAGCGCCTTCATTAATCCCAGATAAAATTGCTCCCACTGTTTATCTGATTCATAGAAGGCCAAAACCAACGATGGGAGTTTCGCTGATAACCCCTCTTTCGTTATTTTTTTCCATTAGAGGTGTTTCATTAGTAGCTTGCCATACAATTTCCTTTTATCAAATATATGTTAAATTTTTTTTCTTTGATTGCATCTTTTTGTTCTAAATGAGTTACAACTTGATGGCCTGTGATGAAATCTCACATAAAAAGACACCATCTTTCGGGACTGATTGGTTTTTTTAAACCATGCTGTCATTCTGCAATTCTGAGGCCGATGTTAAAACAAATTTGCATCTTGGTTGGAAAATTTCATTTACATCTTGCGTTTCCCCCCCTTTTAATTTTATTATTGGTTTATCTTGATTGGTGTTGTTCTGGCCAGGGATGAAAACTGATATAAAAAACACCATCTTTCGGGACTGATTGGTTTCTAAAGCCATGCTGTAATTATTCTGCAATTCTGAGGCCAAAAGAAGGGAAAAAATTTACATACTGAGCAGAAAACATTTCTTGGGGTTATGTAGGTATTAAGAGCATCTCCATCGTCAAAACCCAAAGTATTGTAGTTTTTACATTAAATTGATGAAGTTTGTATACCAAATCACTATTTCATCTCTAATCTATTACACCAAATTTCTAACTAAAAAGAATATTCATTTTATGGTTCTTATCTTCTTAAATTTTTATCTATTTAAAATATTTAACAAATTATATATTATATAATTATATAATATATTACATATAATTAATTATAATAATGTATTTTATGAATAAAATAAAAATATAAAAATAATGCTTAATGAAGTTCAAATATTATTTTCATAAATTTACGTGCTAATTTGTATGTAATTTTTTTATTATAATACAACATAAATTTATTATTATAAAATATATTATTAAAATATCTTTATGTTGTATTATTATTTATTATAAAAATAATATAAATTTATTATGAATTAGCACTTATATTTATGTGTAATTATTATTTATTATAAAAATAATATATATTATATTATTTATGTGTATTATTTTTTTATCTAAATAATTAAAAAATTAAAAGGCTAAAAAAGTAAAAAAAAAAAGGAAATTGTTGCCCCAAAGCTACAGCGTCAAACCTGTGTCATTATCAAATTGGTGCGATTTTTAGTGCTCGGTTGGAGGGACCAAATTGCGATAAATTGGGTTTTTAGAATTCGGTTGGAGATGCTCTAAGATGAAAAGGAAATTTGCAAAAAAACTATAAATCTAAAGGCTTAATAAATTGTGTTATTCATTGCATGAGTGTAAGGAAGATTGTGTGCGTGTTTTTGTTGCTTTGAGCTCCGTTTTAGTTCAGCAAAAGTTGTTCATTCAGTTTATTTTCATATTTTCATACTTGCTTATGTTTTAAATGATGATGAACAGATCACTATACAGCTTCATACTCAGTACCGTCGTGAAATCGTTTGCGTGATGGTACCTGGCGTTCCTTTAGAAACTCCACTAAGCAATATGTTTTTATCTCTCCTGTATTTTTTCCTACGCAAATTGTTAATAAAAGCTAGTACCAATCATTACAACTAGATTTTTAAATTATTTCCTGAAAACCTCTAATGATTATAACTTCAAGCTAGTACCAATCTTTCATAAATTTATAATGTACCAAGTTGAAACAACAAAGAAAAAGATAGCCACAAGGTTACTCTGAGTTTCCTGTAAAGATATTGCATAAAAATTATCCAAATTTGTATATGTTCACATGAAAATTATCTACATAAAATTAATCCGCACGTTTCATCTGCTTCATTTTAAAAAATCGGTTAAGGCCAGCAATTTTTTTTGATGAAAATAGGAATCTAATACCATACTAGTAAACACCATAATAGTCTTCAAAAAATTGCCTTTTTCATCAGATGAGACATGATTAGGGGTGCGTTCAGTCCGAATAAGGCATGGATGTGATGTATTGTATTTATATCCGCTTATTTATTTTGGATATGGATATACATACGAATACATAAACAGATATGTATACGGATAAAAAATAGATATTATTGAAAAAAATATAGTTCATGTGATACAAAATAATTTATCAATTGGAAAAATTTTGTTAAGGCCCTAAATGAGAGAAGTTGATGTGCCTTGGTCCCTTGTTTCATCTTTGGTCCCTTGTTTCATCTTTATGTATGAACCATCTTTATGGATAAACTCCAAATACAATGCTATAATGTGTTTTAGCCATCATTCCCTATCAACTAAGCATAGAGAGAATAACACAAAGTTCAAAAATGTCTTTATTTCCTCCTTTCTCTTCTTTTTTAATGTTAATCTTCATGGCTGATTGGCTGTTCCTCTCCTCTCCTCTCCTCCTCTCTCCTAACCTTAATCTTC